CACTTGCCTGACATGTGTGAGGCATTGGGTTCAATTCTCAGCACTATATATAAATAAATAAAATAAAGGTCTATCAACAACTAAAAAGATATTTTAAAAAACATAAAGTGAAGTAAAGACTTTTTCAGACAAAATAAAAGCTAAAAGAATTCACTGCCAGTAGACCTAAGAAATGTCAAAGGAAGTTTAGGTAAAAGGAAATTTGGATGGAAATTTGGATTTGCATAGATAAGTGAAAAGCGCCAGGCACAGTAGCCCTCGCCTAAATCCCAGCTACTCAAGAGGGTGAGACAGGAACATCACAGGTTCAGGGCTAACCTTATTAATTCAGCAAGACCCCATCTCAAAATTTAAAAAAAAAAAAAAGAGCTGGGGATGTAGCTCAATGGCAGAGGGCTTGCCTGGCATTCATGAGGTCCTGGGTTGAGTCCCCAGTACTGCAAAACAAGCAAACAAACAAACAAAAAGTGAAGAGTACCAAAAATGTCAAATATGAGAAAAAAACAAGATATTACCAGATAACAACAATACATACATGCACCAGTAGAAGGAAAAAGTTCAGAAATACAGGGTTCTAATTTTCTTATAGCAGCTCTCCAATCTGCATGCTCTTGGATAAAGTCTAATACTTCTTTTCTTTTCTTTTTTGCAGTGCTGGGGGTTCAAACCCAGGGCCTCATATATATTAGGCAAATGCTCCCCACTACACTACACCTCCAACCCTCAGTCAGATTTTAAAGGCAAAGACTAGAGGCCAGTGATTCACCTCAAATCTGACTCAAAAGGAAATGGATAGCAAAGAAAGAGAAACATGCTATTTCTTACCGCCTGCTCCTTCCAAAATGCCCCGGACTACTGCCTGAACACCACTGGGTCTCATTAACCTTTCTGAGAGCAGCTGCCCACACAGACGCCGAAGCCAAGCTGGGGCCCGACATCTAAGCTGTGTCTTCACATCTGTGCAGGACTGATAAAAGGAAAGGAAGATGTGAATCGTGAATATCAATGAAACAGATATAGTATATAGATGCTTTTTTCAAAGGCACTGGGTCATACTGACAACAGTGTACTGTACAGATTTGACAACAAAAACATTTGGGGCTAGGCATAAAGCTCAGTGGTAGACCATGTACTTAGCAAGTACAAGGCCCTAGATTTAATCCCAGCACTAAAAAAATATTTTTTTTCCTTAAAATAAAACAAAATACCAAGTCTCTCCTTTACAAAAACCTTTAGCATTACTTTTATTTTCTTTTTTGGGACTGGGGATTGAACCCAGGAGCACTTTACCACTTAGTTATATCCCCAGTCTTTATTTTTTATTTTTGAGACAGGATTCTGCTAAGTTGCTGAGGCTGGCCTCAAACTTATGATCTTCCTGTCTCAGCCTCCTGATTCACTGGGATTATAGGCATGTGCTATTGTCACTAGGTCAGCATTAATTTTAAGAAAGTAGAAATACAGTGATATATATATTAATGAAATTTCAAACCCAGAAAATGACAAACACATCAATGTGTACGTAGAATTTGGGAATACAAAATTAATATAACCAATCTCTAAATGTAGTCCTTCCAATCAACTCTAACTTCCAAAGAAGATTCTTATGAATGTTATTTGCCATTAAGAGGGCAGTTTACAATAGTGAGGGAACATGCCAGACCGTGCCTCCATGATCTTGACTACTCTGATTTCCATGACCCAGCAGTTTCTAGAAAAAGCTGTATTTCTTCAAGGGCTCTTTTCGAAAGACCTGTGGAGCCATCATGAACAAAACAGATTTGGTGTTCTTCATTTTGGACTAGAATGTTAACCATATTGCTGACAACAATTGCACTTAACTATATAAACATCAAAATTAGTGACAGAAAGGGCTGGAGATGTGGCTCAAGCGATAGCGTGCTTGCCTGGCATGCATGTGGCCCGGGTTCGATCCTCAGCACCACATACAA